TAAAAAGAAGCTTTATTGAAAAAGTAGCATGGAGCGCAATGCGACTGAAGACCGAAACATCCCTGTGATGGGTGTCCAGCAAGAAACATCCGGTCTTTAATAGGGGATATGATCTCCCCTGACTGCTAGGCAGGTTTCACAGCGTCTGCCCATGCTGAGAATGAGGGTGTCAATGAGTTGTTGAGGCATTGCTGCCCATTCGTCTTGCAGCGCCAATCGAAGCTCCGGAATCGTTACTGGTGGTAAGGTACGAGCTGCCAAGCGTCTGCCTAGAAAATCCCATACATGCTCTATGGGATTGAGATCCGGAGATCGTGCCGGCTAATCCATACGTTCAGTATCCTCACTCTCTAAGAGCTGTTCGGCTGCTACTGTGCGATGACATGGTGCATTGTCGTCCATGAAAAGGAACTGCGGACCCATAGCGCCTCTAAAAAGACGCACATATGGAAGAAGAATCTCGTTACAATAACGGGTCCCGTTGACTGAACCTGCGTCGAAGATGTGAAGGTCTGTACGACTACCAAGCATGATGCCTCCCCAAACGACAACACCGCCACCTCCATACCTGTCCCTTTCAATGATGTTCGAGGGATGATTGCGGCTTCCCCGCACTCTCCAGATGAGTATGCGATGAGAATCGCTACTCAGACTGAATCTGCTCTCATCTGTAAAGAGTACTCGTCCCCATTCATTGTCTCTCCAATTCCGGTGTTCCCGGCACCACAGAGAACGCCTTCTCCGATCGGCAGGCGTTAGAGACACACACCGTACAGGGCGTCGTGCAAACAGACCACCACCGTGCAGTCGTCTGGCCACGGTAAAACGCGATATCGGTCGTTCGCCAGTCGTGCCTGTGTGTGTCTAGCGATTTCTTCCGCTGTCTGCCGCCTGTTTCTTCTGGCCTGTAAGGCAATATACCGGTCATCTGCGGGTGTGCTTCCTCGTGGGCGACCACTACTAAACCCCCGGATAGCTGTTCCTGTAGTTTGAAATTGTCTCCAAAGTCGTGAAACGATGCTGTGAGCAATTCCGAACTCTGCAGCCACACTTGTCACACTGCGGCCTTCCTCCAACTTCCCAATGATTCGACCTCGGGTAAAAGCATCCAGATGTCGTCTAGCAGATTGATTATTCGCCATTTCTCGCTGAGGCAGCAACTCGGTGTTATTTTAACTGCTATACGGCGTGGAATCTCTTTGCCAGAAATACTGATCTTACACTGACAACATGCTTTATACTACTCAGACACTTCCCCATTACGTCTACCTGCATATCTGCGCATGTGCTACCGTACATCACCTTACTTAATCTCCTGATTGGTCTTTCTGTCCGCTCTGCCTCTTCGTTCAGCTGATATGCTAATTTTTCGACTTCGTCCTTAATTTTTGCACACCAGTGTATATCTTATTATATAATATTATGAAAATTATAATATTTAAAATATTTAACTGATTTGAAGAAGAAATAAAGATGAAAATATATTCCACGAGAGATGTTAAAAATTATCCAGTGCTGACTTTTAACAATTTTCATAAATTTATCATTTTAATGCCGTATCAGAATAGTCATACCTGAGAATTTTTGCAAACTTCAAAAAATACATTGTCATTTTTACCAAGAGAAATAAATAGCCTTGTTATATCATGATTCATAAAGATGAAATCAGATGCATAGACTAAAGGAATTTACATAAAAGTGGTGAAAAATCCACATTCCAGACCTTCAATATGTAAGTGGTGTGAAAGGCTTACAAAGACTAATATGTTTCATAAAATTGTTGGCAGCAGGTCGAGCATAAGCTGTTGTCATTTTCATGTAGCATATTATCAGACTCTGGAAATTTGTTTGGAAATTTTTCAGTTACATATCGAGTTTCTGTATTTTTTCCAGAATATTTATTTATTTATTTGATTTTGCATCTAAAAACTCTGCCAATACTGGATAATTTTTTGTGAAGTAGCTATCATATATTGTAAATAGTACATAGCTCCTACTTGAAATTAAACAATATCATTTAGAGCCTAGATAAAACTTCTGAGTTATTGTTACTTATATGTATAAAAGAGAAGTTTGATAGACTATTTCATTTAGGTTTTATGGAGTATCAGTGTTGTAAATATTGTTTTGGAAGTCTCTGTATTTTTATGTATATAATATGAGATTACTTTGTTTATGAAACAGTTGTGGCTCTGAAAAGTACAATATATATTTAAAAATTGAGTCAAACATCAATTTTACAAAGGGAAATTCAACGTAAATATGATATTTCTGGGACTGCTGTATAATTGTGCTTTATCATAAAATTGCTATCATCTTTATGCAGGTCAACCAACTGTGAGCCAAAACCCTTGTAGCAATGGACTTGACCTTTTTTATGCAAATTAGTTTTTACCTTGAAAACAACTGGCGTCATGTAGGTAGTCCCACCACTGTGGGTACTAATGTGCTTTATTATTAGAGTAACAAATCAAATTCAACCTGTATAATTAGTCTTTATGAAAGCAGCTAATTTCAAGTTAATTGGTGTTGGCATTGCTAACTTCTAGAAGATATTGATGCTGATAAAATAGGAGCATTGTGATTTCTTACAGTGTTAAAAACTGTTGGAAAATAGAATGACATGAGTGACGGTTCGGCGGCAATAGATTCTAACCTGTGATTTCCTTTGAGCAACTGCCGTGGGCGGCATCCTGTTTCACGAAGGCGGCATCAATATAAGTGTTTTTCTAGAATTAGCGGCGATGTTTTTCCAAGCTGTGATCTCTCGTGTGTAACTACAGTGAGCGGCTTTTGCCGGTTTAAGTACACTCAAGGATTTAGTTTAATTTTTCAGGTGCCTTCCTGACCACACAGCATGGACTTATTGATAGTGAAGTGAATTTCATAATAACCGCGTAGTTTCTGTTCTGTGATAGTGATATGTTTTTTTTTTTTTTTTTGTTTTTTTTTTTTTTTTTTTTTTTTTTTTTTTTTTTTTTTTTTTTTCGCGTATTGAATGCCAGTATTTAAAGATCAGATAATATATTTACTATATCATTAATAGTGTAATATTCTTTATGGAAAAACCCTTGGGGTCAATGAATGATCAACTAAGTGTAATTTTTGATAATGATTATGTTACATTCTTTAAGTTTCTGATATTGATTAAATTTATTCATTGTGTTTTTATTTTTATATATATTGTTAATAAATTGGTAAAGTTTAAAAACTTTTGTCTTCAATGCCTGCACAGTATATAATCTTAGAAAGCTTCTATTGCTAATTCTGCTAAATGTTTTTACAACTTTAAACTTTGCTTTTGCATCAAAAACTAGTCTCCTTCTATTGCTAATTCTGCTAAATGTTTTTACAACTTTAAACTTTGCTTTTGCATCAAAAACTAGTCTCCCTACTTAAAGTGGATGGGTCAGTTTTTACCTGGAAGCTTAAATGTGTAGAATCTTTATGGCACTGGACATAATAATAAAGGCAGTTAGTCTTAATCTGAACAATTTTGCATTGCATGTATAAGCTGTGGTTCAGTTGTCTTAACACGTTCCCTGCCGCATGGGGCTTATGCGCCCCATGCTAAACTTTCTGTTCTTATGCGCCCCATGCTAAACTTCCGTTCAAGCCATTTGGTATTATCATTGTAAAATGAATTTTTTAAAAATTCATTATGCAGTCAATTATGGGCATCGTAATACTACTGCTGATGCCCTCATTTAATTGTGGGGCGTATATGCTCCAGGCGGCATGATGCGCAATTTTTTTTTTTCGCTAGAAACAAAATAATACAAAGTAAAGCGTGGGGCGCATACGCCCCACGCGGCCTGAACGGGAAGTCTTCAAAAAAACGGTCTGGCAGGGAACGTGTTAAGTATGATAGATATTTAGTTGCAGCCATTGAATGAAATTTTTACTTTATTATTTTGACATTTTATAATGAGTAATTTTTGTGTTGTTAGTCAAATGCTTTTAATTTTCTTGTGGTATTTTGAATTGAAAAAGTGTTATCACACATTTATTAAAAGAAATAAACTAAGTTTTAAATTTTGTCGAATTTGATAGTTTGCAGGAAAAAGAACATATTAACCTCACACCATATGAAAAGAACCTTGAAATTTGGAGGCAACTTTGGAGAGTAATTGAACGTAGGTAGGTATTTTTGAAATATTTCAGTAACTGTTATTTTATTTATGTGATTTATTTATCTAAAAGTTTTATTATTAAAGATCAGCGGAAGAAGCTTAAAGTAATAAAATGCAGCAGAATACTACTAACGAATAATAAATTTTAGAAATAGAAATAAATCACTCATTTTCAGATTCACTATATTCCTATATTCTATATTGCATGTGCAGTTCAATCTCACCATCATAAATTCTGAGGAAGCAGAAGTTTAGTTCACCATATCTGATTCTATAAGAGAAAGGAATTATCTCATGAAAACATGTAAAAACTAAATTATGTTTCCCCCACCCACCCCGAAAAAAATTGTTCATCATTATTACATCTTGCCATATAAAAAATCATTTAAGATTGTATTAAAATTATTATTATGTGGTTATTAAATTTGTTGGTTGTTCTTTTCCAGTTTAAGTATATGTTAATAATTTTGTCCAACAAATTTACTCGGCATCAGTATCATGGTTACGGCCTTTCTTCTGAGTTACATATTTATAAAATGAATAATAGAATTTGATTGTAAAATGAATGTCAGTCTAAGTTTGAAATTTGCTTAATTTTAGATTTCAGATTCTTCTGAGGTTTGTCTTTTGTATGTAATGTGGGGTGGTTTAAAAAAAAAAACAAAAGAAAATAATAATTTTAAAAAAAATCCAAAAGGTTTTAGATTTTAAATTACGTCCAAAGGGGCTTTTTTTTTTAAAAAAAATGTTTTGTGTGTTACCTTTATTTATTAAATATCGTGTTCTTTGCACTTAAACCATAAATTTCAGTTCAATAGCAATGTCGCAAAATAATTTTAAAATGAGCCTATCTTTAAAATTTCCGATACACAGTTCCGCGCGCTGGAGATAAAAAGGTTTTTTTCCTCCGTAGATTGTTGCCATTGCTCGCTTTCAAATCGTTGAGTTTGTTACTCAATGCATTAAAGTTTTATAAAATATGAAATCGATAATAAAACAAATTTTCAAATTTCGGCTTCAACTTGCCCATATTCACAATAGGATTACGTCATTCAAAATTCGATGGCTCTATGTACAGTTGTTTTATCACAATGTGAAAAATATACATACATTTATGCAGATTTTTCATTATTTAATTTCTTCAAATATAATGCAGGACTCTAACATTTGGTGGCAACAGTTTGAAAAGTGAAACAGACATTTATAGTGATTCAACGCAAAATCGCAAAATGAAAACAGTAGTCCTTCAGGGACAAAGTTCCTTTGGACTAATAATTGATCCATAAAATATAAAAATGCTAAAAGTGAATTACAAGAAATATTGAAGAATTCACCTGTAATTTTTACTTAAAATTCTAAGTACAAAAATAAACTAATTTTCAGCTGACATGATGCAGACTGTAGAAAAATATCCATACTTTTGTCGAAAAACTAAAGATAAATTTATTTTCAGTTCTATAGTTTGTATGAATGAAAACTTATTAAGGACTTGCATTGCAGCCTTGGCATCCACTGTGCTAAAAACTTTTCTGTGTGTCACTGATCTGCCCATTTTCTCGGCATCAGAAGAAATGCTAGGGTACTGATTTCTGTGTTTTCTGTACCTCAAAATTACCTGAAATTTTAATCATTTCAACCTTCTGGGCACCAGAAAGTTAAAATTATTGTTATTATCATTTTAAAGCTGCAACTATACCGTTCAGAACTAAAATAGTTTTGAAGCGAGAAATCTTCTTTTTTTTTTTTTTTTTTTTTTTTTTTTTTTTTTCCCTACGAGAGACATTTTTTTTGGAAATGGAGACATGTAAAACAATGTGTCATCTGTCATCTAATTGAATTATGTAGTGGCTGAAGCTTAAAGCATAAGTTACAGGATGTGATTTCATAAAAGATGAAGACATCAGGATGTTAAGAAATGGTGTATGTTGTTTACAATTTTTGCATTGCTCTTTTAAAACATTAAAAATTTTAATTTGTTTAATTCAAATGCTTTGAATGTTTCTGGGAGAGTTCCTTACATCAGTATATTAATTATCATTGTCGCGAAATTTTTCAATTTTTGAGATTAAAAATTTTTTTAATTAAATTTTATTTTTATTCATTTACATTACTGACAGACCACATACCATAAAAAGATAGATTGACCCTCCCACTGTGTGCATATGTAGGTGGAAAGATGTATACTTCAAACACGATACACATACTTACTGCGTTTTGGTATTGATGATTCACCAGATCGCAGCATCAGAATTGCATGTAAGGGGGAGAAAAGCATCTTAATCCAGTGGTTCCCAAACTTTTATTTTTGACACCTTTGCTGAATCTAGATTTTATTAGGGTGTCCTATTACAAATTCAACAAGTACACTTTGCAAAGTAACAAATAATTTTTTCATGGTTTAGATAAAAATATATAAAACACATATTGAAACCCCTTCAAACCCCCCAAAAATGTAATTGAGCAAATTTTACCTATTATAATATGTAGAGGATGGATGCACCTGTTCTCAAAACGTGGAATTAAACTGAACTCACCTGCCCTCATTTTCTTTTTTTACACTGAGTCTCATGTGATACTTAAAGTTTTTTTTACAGCAATTGCTAAAAACCCAGCTGCACACAGATTGGAAATAGTAAACAGGATTATCATCTTCTGCCATAGGCAAATTAGATGGAGTAGTAGCATTCTATGGATCTTGAATCAATGTAAATTTATCAATATTATAATTTTAAAAATATTTATCAGACCAGGTGATAAGCTTTGGTAAGTGTTCTTCAGAAATGGATTTCATACCTCAAGAGAAAATGATTCCATTGGAAGTAAAAAATTATTGCACAAAAGTGGAAACACCCTTTGTTGCCATCTTTATTCCATTTTCTTTTCCATAGCTTTAGTTTTTTGTAATGAAATCTGAAATTTTCTCAAGTGACTGTTTGCTTCCCTGCAAGAAGGTATTCAAATCATTCAGCTTTTCAAAGATGCCACATAAATATGCTAATTTTATCAAATAAGCTTTATTTAATATACTTGCATTCCTCATATGTAAGAAATTTGTTTGTTTGCAGTTCAGTATATAACCATGCAAAAACCATCACAGTGTTCAACAAAGGCATGTGTTCAGATCCCATATCATCACATAGTTTTTTGGAAAATCTTACCTTCAGTGGCTGAGTTTTCATAAAGTGTTCTATATTCACTATATTTTCTAAGACCTGTCTCAGTGGAATTAACTTTAACTTAGTTTTAAGATAGGGTTCCATTTTTGCAATTCCAACTTTAACTTAATTTTGATCCATGTGCTTTCCTATCAATAACACAGGGGGCTATTAATGATACACTGGTTTTGCTTCAAATAAAAGTCTGCAGTCTTCCATAACAGCTGTGCATAGAAAGCTCACGATCAGTAAAGATCTCTAATGCACTTAGTCTATGCCAAACCAATTTCAGAAATAAAAGTTTTGAGCAAGTCTTGAGCCTTAATACTAGTGACACTCTTATAGAAGAAAAGGTCTTCTGCAATGTTATTGCCATCTATAAGCAATACACAATAAATTAATTGAGAGTCTATATTTTGATCTGTGGTTTCATCCACATACTAGGCAAATTCCTTGCCTTTTAATTTTTCAAATTTTTAATATTTTAAGTGTTTCATTACATGCTGTATTCTGTGGCTCTTAATGTTATTGGACAAATGACTTTTAAAAGTGGTTTGCTAGCAGACTTACCAATCAAAGTTTACTATATCTATAGGAGGTAGTAAAATGAGTTCTGTGATTGTATGAGGTTTCTTACATTTTTCAGTTCTGTGTGCTACCTTGTAAGATACTAGCAAAGCATTGTTTGGTATTAATTGTCTGCTTGTAAAAACTACCATTTTATTGGCCACCCAACCAGGTTAATGGTTAGTGACTCTGACTACCATACTGAAGGGCCCTGGATTCGAATCCCGCAGATGGCATATATGTTTGTAAATGTGGCATGGGGGCACTCTAAATATGTGGCGAGCTAAAATTCCCCTCAAGAAGTTGGTGGTAGGGGAAGAGGGATGGGAGATCCTCAGACTCGTCCCCCCTCCCAGGGGATCTCTTTCAAAATTGGGGGCAGAAGTGGTACAGTTGCCTGTATGGTGCCCAAGCATGGCCGGATTTACATATAAGCTACACAAGTATAGCTTAGGGCCCTCAAAAATTAAAAAATAGTATAAATAGTATTAAAATATATTATAACAGACTTTTAAAGTGCTCCATATTTCAAATAGCTTAGGGCTTTATTAAGTCTAAATCTGGCTCTGTGCCCAAGACTTTTGCTGACGACAAGCACAATCTTGCCTTCTTGCCATGATGAATTTTGTGGGCTTGCTTTGATATTACATAACGCAACAACCTTTTTGTTGACTTTTCTCTTTTAACTTCTTGCTAAAAGTAGTCATGAATATTACTAATGAATCTGGTATAAGTGGTTGCTAAATGGCACTTCAACTTACTCGATAGCATGCATTCTATTGCAGTATTTTTGTAAATAGCTCTTCACCACTGCTTTCTATCAACATAAAACCTAATTCCAAGTAGGTGTTATCATATATTTCATATTTATACATCTTCATGCTCTTGCTGTTGTTTGACAGTGGGCTTTCTGTGTTTTCACTCTTTTTATCTTCACTGCTGTTTATTAAAAAGCAATCTTTTTTTTTTTTTTTTTTTTTTTTTTTTTGAATTGCTTACAAAGAAAGTGCTTCTGAATTTCACTTGATCACAAAATAGTAAATTGAGAGAATCTTCCAAAATTAATTCAGTGTTAAAACTATATGAAACCAGCATTTATTTATGTATGAGCACAAAGCACAGGAAATAAACTAGGATGGCAGGAGACATGACATCTAGTAGAACAAGAGATGGGAACTTAGACTAAGTGGTATGCACCTGCTGGTGCATTTCATTTAGCTACTAAGTTCAGATTAGTTCCTCTGGATGTCATGTTCTGTTAGATTAAAGTATAAGCATTTTTCCTGGAATCATAAATTCTGCTCATGATTTTCATTTTCCCCAGAGTCCAGTAGATCAGTTAGGACAATCAATGCAACTCGTGTATTTTTAATTCAATTGTCAATTGCTTCACTTTTAAACTAAATATATCATTCACTTTTTAAATATCAAAATGCAAGTCGTTTTTTTATTAATGTTGTGTGAATGTATAACTGCTGTAATGCTAATAGGGGAAAAATTGCTCGTATAATATTGAAATTAAAATAAAATTCTGAAAATTGTTCAATGTTTTGTGATTTCCCAGGGCACCACAGTACACACTTGTCTTAATTCATTCTAAATTTGAAACAGCTGTGTGTGTACTAGAGTTGTCAATCAAGAGTAGAATCTTTTGCTTTTTGGCTGAAAGTTCTTCATTCCACTTTTCTAAATCTTCTTCAGACAGTTTTGACATTATTTATATAATGCAATTAGATTTATAGGAAGCAGGAAGAATGTTTCTATCGTTTAAGCATCTTGGCTTCTGAGATTTTCCAATCGCCAGAATTGTATGACACTCAGTGTCATTCATATTGGCATACACAAGAACTGTGATACACACTTTTTGACATTTTTCAGCCAGTGCAACCTGAAATTTTAAAGTTTGGTTACCATAATCCTGTAGAACAGCCTAGTTTCAATGGTGCTAAAAATTTCTCTCTCTTGCTTGCCACCCCCTTCCTTTATTATTATTATTTTTTGTTTACTAGCAAGAAATCTAACAAACATTTTTTTCTTCATTTCTTGATATCTAATTTTAAAATGCTACTTTTTGGTAATTGTTTTTGAAAAAGTGTTCCACCACTTAAATCTATCCAGGCAACCATTTGAGCTTAAAGACCCCTGCAAAGTACCTGGCAAATTCATTGTCCTTTGTTTGAAGCATTTATCCAGGTACTGGCAGATTGCAGCTACTTTGAATGGTGAATCATTTCTGCAATGCTTCTGCAACATTTTTATGCTCTGCTTTTCTCATATCTAAATTTTTTCTGTATTTTTTTTTTTTTTTGTGTGTGTGTGTGTGTGTGTGTGTGTGTGTGTGTGGTATCAACTGAAGGATGGGATAAACTGTAATTCCAACTGATATTGATTTGGCTGCACAGTCTTGTATTTTTCAGATAATGTTAACTTTATCTTCAGTGCAAAATACTTTGTTTTCAGCTTACTATGCAGATGAAAGACAGAGAGAGCAGCTATTGGTTAAAGAATATGAAGGTTTTGCTTTTTTCGAAAAGATGAGAACAGAAGATAATTTTGCCGCCAATGTATCTTATCCAGTGTCCAATAAGAATGCAATCATTTCCTGCAGTATATGAATTGTTAACCGAAGATTTAATAAGCTTTAAAAAAATCCTGTATCTTGCAAAAGACCTAAAGAATGCAAAACCCCTATTTGGAAGATGAACGTTTATACTTTAAAAAAAAAAATCAATTAGGATCAAAATTTTATTCCCTAAAAAATAATCAACTGTATGGCACCAAACTTGTAAGATTCACTATTACCTCTTTTTCTGAATAGCAACAATCTTTTTTGGAGCTCTCTTGATCAATATATTTGAATGAAATTATTAGAGAACCCTTTTACATTCTTTGGTTCATTGTTCGTATAAATTGCATACTCTTCTAAGATATTCTTATTTTGTCCTTGGCCTAGAATGGGGTTTATACCTGTCTTGCAGAGCTTTTGTTTAGAGACAGAGAAAAGTAGGGAAGAAGATGTTTCCCTTTAGAGATAATATGTGAATCCTAAAATTCTAAACACAGATAATTTGAAGTGTTGGTAATTTTTTCATTAAAACTTGCAGAAATTCTGGAATGAAATATGAAAACTATGAAAGAATTTCAATTAAAGATATCTTTAGAGCTCATTATATTTTATGTTCATAGCTCTGAAGGTTTGCTGTAGCAGCATAAAATAACATTGAGTGTATAGAAAATTTGAATGACAATACAATAAACAAAAGGTTTTTTCATTTTATTTAAAGACTTATTTATAAATCAGGTTCGTTATAGCAGGGTTTGACTTAAGTTTGAGTTATTCTTCAAAAAGTCACAGACTATTATAAAAAAGATTAACAGAATTTTCAATTGCTATTTTTATATCTTCATGGATTATAAAATGGATGCTAAGGATAAAATCTAGAGAAACCAAATTTTTTTTCTGAAATCAGTTTTTATTTTATAGAGAAATATGAATATTAATTGTGGTGTGTCTTGTTAGAGTTTACATTATTAAAATATTTAATATACTGTCAAAAGTCGTTTATTCGGACACCCATAATCCGGAATGATCTATAATCCGGACTTCAAAGCTACAAACTTTCTGCTCATGCGTCGCGTTGACGCATGCGCGTAAGACCTTTACAGCTGCGAATATGCATGTGCGCGTGCCCAAAATACGTTTACGAATGCGCATTTAATGTGTAACGGACGGTATAAACTAAGCTAAAATAATCTAATTCAGTTAATGTTGCAAATTGCGTTGTTCCTTAATCTTCGAATTGGATTCGGCTTATTATTTTTTGGAGACTGTTAGAGCAATTTTATAAAAGTAAGCTTGAACTTTCGATTATGTCAAATAGAATTTCTGATTTATATTTACTAATATGTAAAAGATCTACAAAGCGAAAGTATGTTTCGAAGTGCATTAAACAAAAAGTGGAATTGCTGCAAAAAATGGATAAAGGCATATCTTTTGTTTATCTAAACTTTAACGTTTGTTTATCTTTAACGCCGCGGCGCGCAATGAATTGGAAGTTGATCTGTCAGCGGTAACCTTATCTTCAGGACAGATGTTTTTATTTTATTTAGCTTATAATTCCTTACTAAATGTAGTATTTCATTCGATGTACTCCGTCTTTGATATGATTTAAATGAAATTCCTCGTCATTATAATTCGCTTCTGATAGCGAAGAAAGTGACGGAGGTTATTGAAAATGAAAAAATTTCGATTGACAAATTAGTCGGTATTCTCGACACAGCAATTATAGGACTTGAACAGCGGAACTTAGTAACTGAATAAGAAATTATGTCCGTTTATAGAATTAAAGAGAATGTATTACCACGTAAAAATGAAGCAACTTAAACAACTTACATTGAAAGAAAAGTTTAATAAAGTAAACAAATATTAAGCTTTTTTTTTTTTTTTTTTTTTTTTGTAAATTTTGATACCCTTTAGATCATAATTGTTCTTTATTTCATAAATTACGGTTTCATATTTTTAATTTTATGATTTCTGCATGCTATCTTACCAAACTTAAACTGATGATCTATAATCCGGAATCGCCGAAGTCCCGACAAGTCCGGATTAACGACTTTTGACTGCATATGTACTGTTACGTTATTTTCTTCCTTCTGACACCAGTTGTTACGTTATTTTCTTCCTTCACATTCATACGGGGTTCATAGATTTGGAGTGAATAACAACGACACTTTATGAAGTATTGAAACACACTTTATTTAGCCAATATTAATCAGGACAGCTCCAGTCGTCGAACTGTTATAAACATGCTGACACATTCAGCGACACAGCCTTCACACTGTCAGGCAAAAGCGGTGGAGATAGCTTCCTGGAAAGCACCAGAGTACAGCTTCCGACTCTGCTTGGTCGTTCTCGGAACTCCCAGTACTCTCAAGACTCTCCACGCTACAACTCGCGATGCACTCGACAACACACGAGCATAGCTCCCAACTTTTCGGTTCAGTCGTTCCCAGAGCTCAACATGCTCTCTCGACGATGCACTAACCGCGATACACTAACAGACTCCTTCGGGTGCACTCGACGACCCACTCGGCACTCGGCTGTCAACTAGATTGACTCCGCACGGACTGGCTCGCTAGACAAACACACACTAACTGACTCCGCAGGGTTTATATAGCTTTTGCTAACCAGCAGGGTTTATATAGCTTTTGGCTTGTGTTCGAGAACATTCTGGGCTAAACAGGTAAGAATTCGTTCCAGAAGGTTCTCCATCTGTCCATGGCATATCACCAATTTTGTCGCCAAATGTCACCAAATGGGTGATTTCTCACCAAATGTGGCAACCCTGCCTTCCATTGCCATTTTATGGCAACCCTAAAACTGCTTTGCGGGGAAGCCATCTTACCGTGCCTGTACATTTCGTAACAGTACGTTCTCTGGTATTTTCTGTTCAGTCTTTCAAAAGTCTCATTTATAATCACAAACTGGGTAAATGAATGTTTTTGAATTTTGTCAAAAAGTGCATCTTGATAGAAATCTTGACTCGTAGCTAATAAAATCATGTTTTTAATAATTTCAGATTTCCTAAAAAGTAAATACATAATTTTCTTTTCTTATATAAATTGTTTAAAAAGCAACCTGTCATCATTTTAAAATTATGTAGATTCCAATAATGCAAGTCATAAAATATATTTAAATGCTAAGAACAGGAATGTAAATCTATGAAATTTTTTTAAATATTTTGTATAGTTTAACTTATGTTTTCCTTTTAATTTAATAATTTTTTATTTTCAAGTGATATTATAGTTCAAATTCTTGATGCCCGAAATCCACTTTTGTTCCGTTGTTCTGACCTTGAAACATATGTGAAGGAAGTAGACGAGAAAAAAATTAATGTGTTGCTGCTAAATAAAGCTGATTTTCTGACTGAACAGGAAAGGTATTGCATTTTATTTTATAGTGTCAAGTTTTATTGCTGAAACTATTAGGTGTAACATAGACTGCTAATTAATCATAATTTTGATACAATAACTAACTTTTTGTTGTTTGACTTCTAAATTAATCATAATTTCTTAAATCAGTTTTTTATTTCTCCCTTATTATTTGAAATTTTTATCTAGTTTTGATGCATATATACATGTTTATTGAAAAATTAAACTATGTTAACTGATGCAGTGTTTTAAGTAAATAAAATTTCTTTTAACCTAATATATACTTATAAATGATAAAACCATGTAATCTTTAATGAAATATTATTTTTTCTCAGATTCAAAAATTATAAAATTGAAACTTTTTAACTTATTAACTAAAATTTTAGCATATTTTTTAGCATATGTATATGCTAAAACACATATCTATTCTATCAATATATCAGCATATGCATGTGTTAAAACACATATGCTAAAATGCATGAAATTTATTTGAAAAATTGATTAAATTTTTCAAAGTAAGTATTTGGTGTCGTATAATTTTAAAGTGTAAGATTAGTTTTAATGATTAAACAATTTCTTATCTCTTTTGAACCCACCAACAGCCGAGCAGTAAAGTCGCAGAACACTGGTAGTTTGGTCCAAGGTTCGAATTTTGCAAACGGGCTGGCTGCATGGGCGTTTTCATAGTTTTCTCCATGTGTGACGTGTATATGTGCCAGTTTACCTTACTCCAATCCTCCACCAAGGCATCCCTGCTCTTAGGCAGATAGCCCTCGATGCTTTACCATAATCACATAAACCAAACTTATTTCTTTTTCTAATTGTTATAAATATGTTATGTGTTCTTGTTATAATTAAAAAAAAAAAAACTTGCATTTTTCAGCTCTTGTGAAAATTTCTAATGTTGCCTTAAGTAAGACTTTTAAATTTCCATACTTTTTTTCTTTTCTGTAGAAAGTGCTGGTGTAAATATTTCGAAGAAGCTGGAATTCGGATAGCATTTTTTTCTGCTTTGCAGCAAATAAAAAAGGCTTCAAAGGTTGCTTTTATTCTGAATTTTTAATTTTAGTAAAAATAAAAATAAATTTTACAGTAAACTAAATGCATGATGAAACAATAAGTATTGAAATAAGTAACAGTAGGGTAATGAAACAGTACATAAAAAACAGTGTGTATATTCTTTAAAAAGCCGTTTCCATGTTTTTTACGAGTAAGATATTTTATATAATTAGAAACATTAGTGTTTATTCGTAAATACTGACAAATAAAAGAACTGTAAATATTCTTCTTAATAATTCAGTTAATAGTTACGTTATTAGTATAGTTGATGATTTTTTTTTTATGTCATATATTACATATGTCTACCATGTTTTCATTTGCCTCTAATTTGCATAGTTCAAGTGTGATTTGCAGGGATAAGGTATCGGTAAATTTTGGAAGCATGTATAATTTATGTGGGGGGAGGTCTGTATAATTTATGTGTGGTATATTTAAATGATTTAATAAATTTAAATGTAATTCTAGCGGTTTATATGGATAAATTGTGATTATGTTTTGTCTTAAAATTTGATTTTAAAATACGTGTTTGTGAAATTTGCCTGCAATGGAAGAAAGTTGGATAAAATTGGTAGTTCAACCTAGGCTTCTTTTCAGGTGAATGGTCTGGCTGCAGGCGCATTTTCATGGTTTTCCCTATGTGTAACGTGGATACAAGCCAGTTTCCTTAGAGAGTCCTCCACAAAGGCATTCCTCCCCTTAGGCAGATAACCTGTGTGTGCTTTGCCATAATCAAATAAAGCAAACTAAATGAAATTTCCCCAGAATAAAATAAAAAAAACTTTATCAAAAGTTATTCATTTTTTTAATAAAAATGAAATGTAAAATATGTATATATGTAATAAATAATTTTATGCAAAAAGTCATTGTTTTTCCCTCTCCATAAAATTTAGCCTACCAGCAGTAATTTATTCCGGAGCTTAAATCCTGAATGGGCTGGCTGCATGATTTTTTTATGGTTTTTCCTATGTGTAACGTATGTATGAGCCAGTTTCCCTTAGAAAGTCCTCCATAAAGGCATCTCTTCCCTTAGGCAGATAGACCTCACTTGCTTTATTTTAATCAAATAAAACAGTCAGTCAAACAAACCATAAAATTTGCCAAACTGCACCTAGTTGTTTGCACCAATATATAAGTACCAAAAATTCTTTAAATGTTTTTAATACAAGTGTGTATTTTTTGATGAATTGATATGAAATTAATATATGAAAAAGAAGTTAGGATTTTTTTCAAGGCTTCATATTACATAATTTATTGTGTATTGCTTATTTAATTATTTCTAAAGCAAATTAATTTATATTATGGTTATAGCAACAAATATTTGATTGATAAATTGGAAAATTTTCCCCAACTCTAGATTCTGCATTAAATTTGAAGTACTAAAGAGGGGGAAATCCTGTATCCCTTTCCAAAATTTTGCAAAAGCTATATTCTGATTCCCCCCCTCTTTTTGTAACACTACATTTTCCTTAAGTGATGTTTGTAGTTCTTATTTTAATTTATTTGAAAGTGTTTTAGACCAAGTCTAAATTATGTTTCAATTCTAAATTATGTTTTAGACTTTAGTTTTTGTGTATTTATATATCTTGTTTTAATGCTTTAGGATAACAGTATAAAACAGACTGCATCTGATGATTCTTCAACTGAAAAAGCCATTCCTTCCATTTTAACTAAAGAAGGCATTTCTGGTATTTCTTCCACTTCAGTAGAAAAAGACATTTCATCCACTTCAGCTGAAGAAGACATTTCTTCTATGTCGACTGAAGAAAACACCTTTTCTGCATCAACTGAGGAAAATGTTTCTCACACTTTGACTGAAGAAGCCATTTCTTCAAACAAAATAGAAAACAGTCCAAATATTTTGTGCCAAGATGGGCTTATTTCATTTTTTAAATCCATTGGTAAATCCATTGAAAAAAGTAATCCTGTGTTAAATGTTGGCTTTGTAAGTGAAACTCTGTTTTTTTTCCTCCCCTCCCTTTAAAGGGAAACAAAAAGAAACAAAAACTTTTTCAGTACAATTAGTTAATTACTAATAGCTTTACATTTTTATTGTTTTGTTAGGCACTTATAATACTAAGCTAGCCGATGAATATTGTCATTTTTTTCTGCATCAGAAATAAAGTCAAAAAGGAAAACAGACAGGAAGGAAAGAGCTCTGAGTGTAAAATATATGTATACTAAGTTCTAGACCTGTAATGTTATTCAATTTAGCTCGCAACTTAATACGAGACGCTCACTGTCCTTACCATTATAGTACATGCAACTATAGGTACACTGCTCATAAAATGGGACAGTTCTACATCCCCCGTTCTACTGGGCCGATTGACAAAATTCAAATTGCGTTCTTGATGGCTCGAAAGCGTGACTTAGGATATATATTAGATTTATGTATAGTACTATTCTAACATAGGTATTTTGACACAAAATTGGACTTTTTCTGAAATAACATACCAATTTTTTTACATTTTTCGATTCTACGACTCAAATTACACCTAAATATGAAATTTTATAAAATTTGGAGGGAAATTTACGGAGAAATTCACAGATTTATGTTGGCACATTGTTTTCAGTTTGCGCCAAGAATAATTCACTTGGCAAACTTCTTAATATATGGCAACCTAGTTTCCTTTCCCGTGAGAGGAAAAAAAGTCACCATCGTTCCTTTTTTCCAAATACTATTCTTTATATTATAGTTTTAATTATATAACTGTTATTATTTTAAGTAATTTTTTCTTTTTTGAATTTCATTTTAATTGTTTAAGTTGCATGGTTTTTTTTCAAATAACTGTTTCAAAAATTTCTATTTACCTATTCAAACTACATAAATAAAGGTGCAACGTTATTTTTTTTAATTGTTTTCTTTATATATATTTATTGTCATTGTTATTATTTTAGGTAATTTTTAAATTTTTATACTTTTATTTTAATTGTTTGTGTTGCATTGTCTCTTCAGATAATTGTTTAAAATTTTCTATTTATTCCTTCAAACAGAGCATTTTAAATATATTTATTAATATAAATTTTCCAGAACTTGATTTTGTTTATTTGAATTGCGTTTCTTTCGGAAGAATACTTTGTAACCGACACTACGATGCGTTTGAAAACTGCATATATTAAAAGAGAAAATACAGTAAAGCACAGTTAACACGACTTTCAATGTTCTGTTCCGAAAAGATATATATAAATAAGAGAGATGTATAACCGACATTTTAACTTAGGATGACTTGCATACACTGCTTTAACCAGTTTTATCATTGTGCCCATTGCTTTACTCAATTTTATCCTACATTTGGTTTCTTAAAATGTTATTCTACGCAAAAATGTATTTTTTCTTCTCTTTTTTCTTCAGGCATTCTTATTTATTCTTGCTCTTTTTCTTTAAACATTCTGCAAGTATATTAAAAAGCATCCAACTTTTCAAAATATCTTGATATTTCGGACAATCATTTTAAATAAAGTTATTGCCTTCCATTTCATAAAGGCCCACAAACGGCCGAGCGGTAAATTCGCTGAACACTGGTAGTTCACTCCGGGGTTCGAATCCCGGAAAACGGGCTGGTTGCATGGGCGTTTTCGTGGATTTTCTCATGTGTTCCGTGTATGCCAGCTGGTTTCCCTTAGAAAGTTCTTCACGAAGTATTTGGTCAGAGCCTTTATCAGTCTTTAGAGGCTAAACATTTTGAAGGTATGAGATGAAAGGAAAGACTGGTTTGATCAAGATGTTTTGGTTTATTTAATTATGACAAAGAACACTAGGGCTATTTTTTTTTTTTTTCCTAGCCTAAGGGGAGGGATGCCTTCGTAGAGGACTTTCTAAGGGAAACTGGCTCGTATACATGTTACACATGGGGAAAACCACGAAAACGCCCATGCAGCCAACCCGTTCGTGGGATTTGAACCTCGGACCGAACTACCAGTGTTCAGCTACTTTACCGCTCGGCCGCTATTTCATCAGGAGAGGAAAAAACATCTTTAGGTGACATCCACATACATCACTGGATAAACTCCTGAATCTTCAAATAATTTGACTGAGAAAATCATGAGATTCTCCATTTATGATACAATATTATGTTCTATAAAGTAATTTAAATTTATGTAACCATATAGTCTAAAACCAGTCGCTCTTCACTTTAATCTGCAATGATATCGTTTTTGTCTTTTCTGTTAACATAAGCTCAAATTAGGGTATTTGCTGGTGTACACGTCCAAGTGTTTTTTCTTTGAACACCTAAATTCTTTGAAGTATCCTGAAAGTATATTCAAAAGCGTCCAACTTTTTGAAACATCTTGGTATGTCTGACAGCCAAATTTCCCTGCAAATTTTTGCTTACTTTTCTCCCTAATTTTTAATTTTCTTTTTTCCTTCTACAGTTATTTTCAGTGCTCACACAAGAAAATTAAGATTTTTCGATTGCTAGACTTCCATAAATTTTGTATTCTTGTCAATTTTTTAAAATATCAATTACATGAATTGCGTTTCAGCTGAAGACAGCTTTTCATTTTCTAGTCATTTTAACTATAAATAAAGTTTAAAGCGAAGTCCAAAGGATAAATATTTTAATTGAAAGATTTTTGCTAAATGACAAAGAAAAAAAACAGTCCAGCAGGTTTTATTCTGTACCACCGAGTGACCCGATTCTTATATCGGCTAAAACAATCTAAATCATATTAAAGATCATGTTATTTTATAAAATCTATAGCGCAAGAGAAAAATTAGCTTCTTAAAACATTCTTTCTAAGAGGATTAATATAAAAGATTATATTTATATATATATTTTTACAGCTGGGACTTGAACCAAACTGTCAAACTTTTAAAGTTTAATTTACATGGTGTTTATAATTAAAGTGAAATTTGAAATGGTCATAAAAGGAAAACTACCGTACCCAATGTTATCAAACTTGGGAATCGTGTAAAGGAGGTTATGGGAATTTATTTTCCGCGGAAAAAAAAAAAAAAAAAAAAGAGATCAAAAACTCAACACCAGGGAACAAATGTCGCTGTATACAAGATTGTTAAATGAAATAAGACATAAAAACATCTGTTTAAAATGTGTTTAATAGTTTCCGAAACGTGTTACATAGCATGTTCAATGTAGCGTCCAGCATTTTCCGAAACAAGTTAAATCCTGTTACTGCATTCTCAACAGCAGCTCTTAGCATATCAGGAGGAATGTTACGGACATGTCGGTGTATCACATATTTCATTTCTGCCAAATTGTTTAGATTATCACCATAAACAGTACTTTTAAGATAACCCCATAGCTAAAAGTCACAGAGGTTGAGGTCTGGTGGAAAGAGGGGAATTGTTGGCCTATAAGACGTTCATTCGTGAAATGTTGCCTAAGTGACTGTGTGACACACGTGAGGTGGGGCCGAGCCCTGCATAAAAATCGTAGTATCTAAAATAGTATGTTACTGCAGTTCATGTATCACGAAACATTTTAACATTGACTCTAAGTGATCTGCAATCACGGTGGTCCAGCTGTCGACTGCTTTTCAGAGAAAAATGGTTCAGTTATAAAACTAGCTGTCATTCTACACTAAACAGTATGCATTGACTGCTATGCAATCGAATGCAGTAGGAGAATGCAATGGAACTAGATAGATAACATGAGGGATTTCTTTGGCCCAAATCGATTAAAAACGTTCTGAATCAGTATCTTCATGTTTTAGGGCCGAATTCAGGCTTCAAAAATTACAAATTAGTGATCTGTAAGAAAACGATTTCCTGATTGTACATGCTTGTGCGAGTGATTTGCGATCTCACATTTTCTAATCGCTAATTCGTGGTTTTCACGGACGAATTTCTCACTTACAGGGATGGCGCACTCGACATTTATCGAATTTAACGCCTTTAAATGGTAATTTGCCTACTTCAAAGTTTCTTAAGTGTATACAACATATTAAACCCGTGTAGCAAAAGGTTAAGTTAGATTCCGACCCATATTTCGTTTAACAATATTGCATACAGCGCCATTTCCCCCCTGGTGGTGAGGTTTCGAACTTCCTTTTTTTCGCAGAAATAAATTCCCATGATTTCCTTTACACGATTTCCAAGTTTGATAACATTTGATCGAGTAGTTTTCCTTTTATGACCGTTTCAATGTGGAACTTTAATTATAACCACTCCGTATATTATTAAATTTTAATTTGAAGCTATGCTTTATATGTATATCATACGTAAATTTTTCGCTTTTGTGGAAAAACAAAGAATCGAAGCAAATATACTTAGGATAATAGACCAAAACTGAAAAAATTTCCCCTCCTTTCGAAAATAAAATATTGAAATTCGACCTTGAATTTATTGGGTTATCGAAATATTTAATTGACTTATCTTCTAAGTCCTAGTTCTGACAACAATTCCGTCAAAAATTCCGAATCACTTAAGCTGAGGTAAAAGATTTAGTATATATTCACTGTATGTTAATAAACTAATCAGAGTGTAATAAAAATAGATTATAGAATTTACGCTGATGCATTTTTTTTGTCTGACTGCACAACATGTAATGGAAGAGAAGGCTTGTAGAGATCTGTTTTTGACATGCCTCTAAAAGTAGATGTGATACTCCTTTTGTCTCTTCAATGTCAAAAAACTTTTCTTTGAGAGACAACTTCAGTTTTGGGGAAAGAAACAAAATCACAAGAAGACAAATTTGAAGAACATGCAAGACAATTGAATACACATACTTATTTTCGGAACACAAGCGGTTCTCCGATTGGTTATTGAATAATGAAAAGATGCATTGTCATGCAATACAAAACATTTGGAATACGTTTTCTGACTGAATAACGTAAGATTAAAAGTCATCTGCTTAATTCACAACCATTTACAAGTCAACTATTCGGGCAATTGCAGAATCGTTTTGATCCTGAGCTTTTAAGACAAACCTTATATCACTGGATTTAAACACTTCTTTAATCTTCCGAGAACATTTCTACTTTAGCTCATATTCCAAGAATATTAAGTGAATACAATTATTGTAAAAGAAATTGAATATTCATTTGCACTACGGCTTGGTAGTTTACTAACAAGTTAAGAAAACTTAAATTCTGCTTTTTGTGTCTAAGAATACAACAGAATTTTAAATATTTACAAATAAAATATTAAATTGGAGATTTAATTGCAGCTCACCAGTTGCCTAGCATTTGAAGATTGCTAAATACTAATTGTTTTTTGCGAAGTCTAGCCAGGCTGCATGGTTGGTTTTCATAGATTTTTAGGTTCTCTTTACAAAGGTTCTCTCTGAAAGCATCTTAACCAAATAGCTCCCATGTTCTTTCTAAGTTCAAATAACCAACTAACCTAGTTTAAGCACGATTTCCAAATGAAGTTACTAGCAAAACCCGATTACTCTTAAAAAATCAAGTAGTTTGCCAATCGGAGTAACATGAAAGATACGGCGCCAATAATTGATTTGCTGTTACAGTACGCTGTTTCTAAATTTAGATGGTCATTCCTTAATTAAATAGCCCACCAGCGGCCGAGCGGTAAAGATGCTGAGCACTACTGGTAGTCCGGTCTGAGGTTCGAATCCCGCGAACGGGCTGGCTGCCATGGGCATTTTCGTGGTTTTCCCCATGTGTAACGTGTAGATGAGCCAGTTTACCTTAGAAAGTCCTCCACGAAGGCATCCCTCCCTTTAGGCAGATAGCCCTCGTGTGCTTTGCCATAATTAAATAATCCAATCCAATTCTTAATTAAATATAATTGATTTGTAACTTCTACTAGAGCTGACGGTAAAAAATTGAAGTGCAAATAAATAATATCGTGTGCACTCTTGATTAACATAAAATTAAAAATATTTGCATTCAGACAGAAAGTTTTTTTGAAATATTTGCAATTACTTTATAAGAAGGATTTATTAATAACCGTAATAATTACTTATTATATTACTGATGATTAGGATTCAGTTCTTGACAATTACATTCTTAATTAGAATTTGAAGGATATAATGAAAATACGCTATGCTCAAAAATACATTTTAGAATAAAAAATGAGTTGATTTTTTGTTTTAAAACTTCTTAAATTCATTTAATAAACATCGTATCCTCGTTGTTAATTGAATCCAGTGTGTCGTTTATATAATTATTCTTACTTGTCCACAGAAGCTGCTGACTTATCCAGCCATTAAGTAGCTGCAGATCATTTCTACATAAACCATTGAACTTCCATTAATTCAGTCTCTAGAGGGTTGTATGTTTATATCATAATTTGACTTATATAAATGATTATTCTAAATCTTATGTTTCTATAAAAATATACTATGCTTTAAAAATATGGATGATTGTATCAGCCGCTCTTTCAGCCACTTCAAAAGCAACAGTTGGTTTAGAAATAAATTATTTTGTTAATGTCATAAAATATTTTCATAAAATTCAAATAAACATTAAACGAAAATTCTCAGTTTTAGACAATTAGATTTGAATGAAGTAAAGTAGCAGACGATAAAACACCGAAGGTAAAAATTTACTTTTATTTTTTTTTTTTTTTTTTTTTTTTTTTTTTTATAAAGGAAGAAAGAAATTTAAAAAAATTGTTAAAAATTTGAATAATATCATCTATAATTTTAAAAAAATAGCTTTTCATATAGTATTAATAAATATTTATTACGCATCATTGAGGGAAAAAATTTCATATAATTAATTCTCTGTAAAATTTTACTTGAAATTTAAGGTTAAAAATAGCTGTGGCAATTCACTGTAACAAAATTCCATAGACCACATTTGGCGATATTATTGCTCAAAAAAAAGATGCCAAATTTCAAAATGCAAAAATATGTAAATTCATGTATATCTTAGAAAATTTTGAATAAAAAAGTCTAATTTTTTGCTGATATGCTTAAAAATACACCTACTTTAAGATGATGGTAAAAATTTTGTAGGTTATAATTCAAAAGTTTTTTCAAAAAATTATAAAAAATTATTTAAAATAGAAATTTAAAAAATAAAACACAAAAAATGGGTAAATTTTATTTGGAATGAACCTAAATTTTAAAATGTGAAATGAAAAATGATAAAAGTTTAATAAAAAAAGAGATATTAATAAATATTTACCAAATTCAATTAACATTGAGGAGCTAAAATTTTGAGAGCTGATATTTTAAAAACTACTTGTACGATTTTTACAAAACTTGGTATTCTGGCATAATTTGAGTCGTAGATTCGAAATATGGAAAAATATTGATATGTTATTTCAGAAAAAGTCCAATTTTGTGTCAAAATACCTATGTTAGAATAGTGCTATATATAAATCTAATATATATCCTAATTTCATGCTTTCGAGACATGAAAAACGCACTTTGAATTTTGTCAATCGGCTCAGTAGAACAGGAAATATAGCACTGTCCCCCCCCCTTTTTTTTTTTTTTTTTTTTTTTTGGGGGGGGGGGGGTGTGCAATGTACATATGGTTTTGCTGTAATGCGGTTTGAGAATTGAAGAAATGTTCCTATAATAGAACAATCATGCAGCTGTCTTTTCATACTAGGACAGACTTAAGATGTGTGACTAAAGTTTAATTATGTAATTAATTTATACATACTCTTCATTGTAAATTTGATGCAAGTAAAATTTATAATCTTTCTAATGAAGAGTATTTTGAATTAAAAGAGGAGATATTTTGAAGTAAAATATTTAAAGCAGTTTGAAATAGCATTTAAGAATGTAGTTATATTTTATTCTAATATGATGGCTGCATTTGGAGTTTTATATAAATTTCTATATGTTACATAATACGATTATTGCATAATATACTTTACTGTTTTACCTGTTCCTGTGTAATATCTTGAGAGTATTTTCAAGATTTAAAAATACAAATTTAACTTTTAAAATATAAAAGGTTTTGATATAAATGTGTCTGTTAGATATTAATGTGAACAAATAACGTTAGAAAATTCGCTGCAAAGGCATCCTTTCTTAGACATGTAACCAGAGCATGCTTTGTTGTAGTTAACTGCTTACCTATTTATGTCTACTTAATACAAGTATTCTGCAATTGAGCGAGAGTTATGTTTTATATGCATCTTTTGTAGGTTGGTTATCCAAACGTTGGCAAGAGTAGTACAATAAATGCTATCCTCATGAGCAAAAAGGTTTCAGTTTCTCGTACTCCTGGGAAAACAAAGCATTTTCAGGTAATAATATTGATTATGACCAAAAAAGTTACATTTTAATGCTGGAGTGTGATGCCTTCTAAACTTCTGATTTTGTTACTAATATGAAAAACTAAAGCTCATATTTTATAGTTTGGTTAAAACAAAAATCATCTTAACAATATGGATGTTTTTCTCTGTTGTGCAAAAATGAATATAAAATCTTTGTTAAACAAATTGATGCCTTAATTAGATTTAGATTCCTCATCAATATTGATCATTCATCACCAAATAACTCATTATTAGCATTTTTATCACCAATTTTTTGCAAGCTTGTGTAGACCACACAAAGTCTTATTATGCTGCCTGTGAAGTGATAATTAATGTGATTTCTGAACTTTATATTTGTCTTTTACTAAATTTCTTTATTATTTGTAGCATGTTGTTACAGCTAAAATGTTTTTGCACATCATGGTATTTTTATATAATTACAAACTGTGTTTTTTTTAGTAATTAACACTAGAACCGCAGGACTTCCGATATGCCTAGCACCGCGGTGCAGGTCATTTTGATTCTAGATAGAAAACACCTAAAAATACGTACAAGTGATTACTTTAGTTAGCTATTTTTTTTTTTTTTTTTTTTTTTTTTTTATGTAACAATCAATATATCTCAGAATTTACATTTAGTATAAATCAACGGAAATTATCTAAATTTTTAGAAAATCATATTATTTAAAATTTTATTTCCTTAAGTTATAATAACATGTCTTTTAAACAAAATAAAACATAATTTTTCTAATTTTGATGGAAAAATGGAGTATATCATTTAAGTTTAGACATAATTGTAGAGAAAAAATAAAAATTGTACCAGTTACTTACTACTTTTACGGCATTTTAAAAATCCAATTTATTTAATGAGTTTTTTATATTTACCACAAATAGATGCTTTGCATTTTGAATCTTGGGTTTTATTTTCACATTTTGAACTGTGGCATTGGACTCCTTTACGCTTAACCTGTTGTCTGTCGTTTTCAGTGGTTGCTATATACCCATGTGTCACCTTTTTTCGCTGAGAGAGAACACACTTTTCTCTCAGTTTTTCAACTAAGTGTTGAATGAATAGCCATCTACTAATAGATTTTCCAGATACTGCTTTGTATAAAACCCAGGCATTGATAGCAAGGTCCAAAATATTATAAAAAATCTGCACTAGCCACCTCCGTGAAGCAAACTTAACAGTATACTTCATTGCCATTTGGTTAATCACCTCCACACAACTTAGTTGCGTTGTAGTAAGCAATTGTGTTGGGAATGGCATCACTAAGCCAACGAATCAAAAGCCAGATAGAGACTGACGTCATGGGACGCCAGAGGAAAACGAACAGTTCCGGTTTAGTTAGCTAAGAACGATGTTTGCATGATGTGGCTAGATAGATATTGTAGCTAGATAAATATTTTATATTCTTTTAACTTGTCTTTATGTGTAAATAAAGCTCTTTTGCTTAAGTTTAAAAATGAAGTACTCCATTTATGACAAGATAGATAGCTGTTAATTCATCGGGTAGATGACTTACGAATCCCTTCTGAGCTAGCCATTGTTTCGAACGTAACGCCTTACGTAACATAACATTGTGGCGCCCAAAACGTGGGGCGCGATAACAGCTAAAATAAATTGAAAATGGAGCTTACACAGCTGAAAACCGAAAGAAAATGTCTAAGAACTTCCTTTACCACATGTGCAAACAAAATTGATGCAGAACTGAAATCAGATATTCCTGATTTGAAGCTACTTTCGATTCTGGAACAACAGCTTAGAGACAAGTTTAATCGACTTGAAATTTGCCAAAAGGAAGTAAAAAGTAAGTAACGTCGCTAATTCTACAATCTAAAGAAGCTGAAAAGCTATATGAAGAAGATTTTATTTCGTCTGAGCCTTATAGAGATAAATATTTTGAACTGTGTTCTCAAATCGAAAAGCTGTCGAAGAATCCTTTACCTACTGAATTACCAGAGAAGCGCAAATTTAAACTGCCGAAGATCGAACTAAAGAAATTCAACGGACGAAGCAAAAGAATTTTTGACGTTTTGGAGCCAGTTTTCGAAGATCCATGAAGATCCGACGATTCCAGATGAAGATAAATTCCAGTACCTACCTCCTGCAAGCAGTTGTGTTCCTCAGTCCAAAGCCGCACGGGTAGTGGAGAGCTTTCCGGCAACGGCGTCGAATTATCCGAAAGCAATCGCCCAGCTTCGAGAGAGGTTTGGAAGAGAAGACTTACTTGTACAGATATACGTCAGAGATCTTCTAAGCATGGTTATGCGTAATGCAAGCAGTGGACGTGTGTGAAGACGGATCTTCCCACTCTCTACGATGATTTAGAAACCAAGATTAGAGCTTTAGAAAGTCTTGGAAGAACGCAAGAGAAGTATGGTGATTTCTTAACGCCTTTAGTTGAATCCTGCCTGCCCGAAGAAGAAATATTAATTGCTTGGGAGAGAAACAGAAATTTAAAAGAAGCACCTCAGCCTGATGACCGATGCCTTGAAAATTTGATGAATTTTCTGAAACAAGAAGTGAAAGGAGAAGAGATGGTCGTGTTAGCCCGCACTGGGTTTGGTTCTAATCATATTTCTAAGAAAAAGGATACACTAAATAAAAATTTAGATTTCGCCACCGCAGCTGTGCGTTAGTAAGTACATCAAATTCTGAGAGCCCAGGTAAGCGCAATTTTAACTGTCTCTTTTGTGAAAAACGGCACCCAACTAAAGAATGTTTTTCTGCTAGAAATATGACATTAGAAGCTAAGAAAAATATATTAATTAAAAAAGGGGCCTGTTTTGGATGTTTCAGATTTGGACACACTTGTAAAACATGTCGAGTAAAAAATTCTTGCATGTACTGTAATAAAAATCACCATTCTTTAATGTGTCCCAATCGCCAAGAAAAAAGGCGCAAATGAAAAGTCTAAAAGGGACGTAACTGAAACCAGTACATTAACTAATAACTGTAAAATAGAAAATGTTTATTTAATGACTCTAATAGTTAAAATTAAATTTAAGAATGTTGAGCTTAAAGTACGCACATTACTGGATACAGGTTCTCAGCATTCGTTGTCAGTAAAAAATTAGTAGAGAATTTAAATTTAAAACCATTAAGGCAAATTAAATTGAAGCATTCGTTATTCGGTGGAAGAGAAACGCGAACGCAGATTCACGATGTTTATAATTTGTTGATTTCGGCATTAGATGAAACTTTCTCCTTTCAAATCGAAGCACTTTCCGAGAGCAAAATTTGTGGCACAGTGCCAAAAGTGAACGATAGTAAAATTATTAATGAACTGAAAGATAGAGGCGTCAGTTTGTCTGATTTGGGTTCTTCTGATCGTGAGATCGGTCTGCTTTTGGGAGCAGATATTGTGGGCGGTTTATTTACTAATAAATCTGTTCGGTTGGAGTCGGTTATTTTTGATTGACACTTGTTTAGGACATGTGTTAACTGGGAAACATGAGTCATTTGGAGATAGCAATGATGACACTGTTTTGAATGCAATTTCGTTGTATGTTAGTAATTATTCGATAAAAGATTTGTGGTCTTTAGAATCCATAGGTATTTCAGATCCCATTGAAAATAATAGAAAGAATTTAGAACATTCTAGAGTTTTGGAAGAGTTTAAAAATAATGTGAAAATTCTTTCAGACGGTAGATATGAACTTTGTTTACCTTTTAAATCTGATGTGGCCGATTTGCCGACAAATAAAGATTTAACTTGGAAGCGGCATAAAAGGATGTGCCAGCGAGCACAAGATAAAGCATTTTTAGAAGAATATACTACGATTTTCCGGGAATGGGAAAAATTGAATATAATTGAAAAGGTAACTGATAATATTGAGACGGGACATTTTTTACCTCATCGGCCAGTAATTAAGGACAGTACCACTACAAAAATCAGACCTGTCTTTGACGCGTCAGCCCGAGAAAGAAAGTGGTAAATGCTCTTTGAATGACCTTTTGTATAAGGGTCCGAACTTACTAGAAATAATTCCAGAGATACTTGATAGGTTTCGAATTCATCCAATAGGATTATCTTCAGATATTGAGAAAGCATTTCTGATGCTAAGTATAGCCCCTCAACATAGAGATTTCTTGCGGTTTTTTTATCCGTCCGAGAGTGAACAGATTGTTTACCGACATCGCAGAGTAGTATTTGGGTTAAAGTCGAGTCCATTTTTATTAGCAGCCTCAATTACACATTTATTAGATAATGTACCATCTGAATTTGATGCTATAGCACAAAAACTGAAACATTCTTTTTACGTAGATAATTGTGTTTCTGGTGTTGCAAATATTGAGGAGCAGGAAGATTTTATTGTAAATGCAAAAGATATTTTGTCACGGGGTTGCTTTAATTTAAGAAACTGGGAGAGTAATGTAAAATGTAAGTATGTTTCTAATAGTACTGGTGTCACGAAAGTATTGGGAATTTTGTGGGATCTTGATAAGGACACTCTTAAGTGTAATTTAAACTTTAATCTTGTAAGTGAAGATCAAAATTTTACTAAGAGAATCATTTTAGCTACAGTTCACAAAATATATGATCCAATAGGTCTGTTGAGTCCTGCAATCTTACCACCTAAGCTTTTACTGCAGGAAACGTGGAATTTAAATCTAAAGTGGGATACTCCCTTACCAGATAGTATTCAAATGTCTTTTAAAAGATGGTTTAGAGAAATAGATGCATTAAGAGATATCGAAATCTCACGTTATGTTGAAATAAATGATTCCACTGAGATGCATGTTTTCGTAGATGCGTGCAAAGAGGCATATGCCACCTGTATTTTTTTTAGAACGAGAACCTCTCAAGGGGTAAAAATTTACTTTGTTAGAGCAAAAACCAGAGTTGCACCTTTGAAGAAAGTAACGATCCCTAGGTTAGAGTTAATGGCTTGCTGCATTGGTGCCAGGTTGGCATATTCAGTGAAGCAGGCTTTAAATGCCCATGAGATTAAAACAATATTTTGGAGCGACTCTAGGGTAGCTTT